TAGTCAAAATTACCACACTTGCCAAAGGTGGGGGGGGGACAACCAAAAAACCCCTCAAACAAACAAACAAAAAACAAATATTAGAAGGGAAATTTCAACAGAGTCTTTGTAAACACCTTTCCCCTGAAAATGTCTTAGAAACAAGAATATGCTATAAAATACAGCGCAAATGCCATGGTTTTACACATTTCATGCTTTGACCTAAAACTAGCCTGCCCCTCTCATCATTTTCCCTTAGTGTTCTTCTAATGGATTTCTTCAGAAAAGGAGAGGCAGGGTACTCAAACGGAGACTAACAAGACCTGAAAATCTTAACAGGAGAATCAGAATGTAACAGTAAAAGTCATCCTTGATGTCGCCTCTCTGACTGGGCATCCTTTGGACATAAAAATTCACATTTTCTCTTGGACTAGAGATCTCTCAGGTCTGAGAGGGTTCTTCCTAGGTTTCCAGGTCAGGCCAGGCCAAATGACTCAGGTGGGCAAGGAGGAGCCACAGACAGCAAGGCCCTAAGTGTTGCTGTACTGCAGTCTTTTTGGGTGGCTAATGCTGACTGAAATTTCTCTATTTTCCTACGAAAATACCACTAAACATCTCCTCAAATGAAAGGTCACTGGCTGCTCATTTCTCATGGACACTTCCCAACTAAGAAAGTGAACATCAAATGGAGCTGTCAGGATTACCATCCACATATGGCAGCCCTGGGAAGACACCAGCAAACAAACAAAAAAATTCTTTTCTATCCTGTTTCTCTGCCTCTCCTTCTGCTCATGAGGTGATGAAATTCTTATCTGGAACTTGATAGGATGTAGAAAATAATTACAAATGAAAAGGTTATTCATAATTTTTAAATGAGTTAATTAGTAAACCCAGTCAGACTCACTCATTACAGTAATTAATAATTGATTATACTTGAAATTAAACACAATTTTTCATCAAAAATCTAATTAAATATCTGTGCTTTTGCCTGTTGATTAGATCAGTTGGTTTGCTGGAAAAGAGTCTTTGTTAAGGATATTTGTGCTTGGCTGAGACAATTAATTTGATTTTTAATAATTGATGGTTCCATACAAGTCAGTCATCACAGCCTGTAATTACGGCCAAGCAACAAGATGCTGGGTTCTTGCCCTCAGCAGCTGGTACAGACCAGGCACCAAGGCCGTCTCCTAGGCTCTGGAAGGAAAGATGCATGGTTCCCGCACCTGCAGTGTGTTCACCTGCACCGCTCACTGCAGCCTCACAGACATCCTCCCTCGCAAGACGGCCAGGCTTATTTCCTAGAAGATCTGACTTCGCTGGGAGTTTCTTGAGGAAGAACAGCTGCACATGGCAGGGCTGAGCAGGGATCCAGGGCTTGTTAGACAGTGAGGCCAAGTTGTTCCCTAATCCTCTGCTGCACAACCAGTGACAAATGGTGTGATCCTTAGGGTCCAGTCTTAAGGTTTCTAAACTGACAAAATTTAATCTGATGGAGACCTCTGTTCTTGGCAAGGACACACCATCAATGAGCTGACCCCTCTATTAAGACTTAAATTCTCCTTGTTTGACCCTCCATCTGCCCTCTCCCCTCCACCTCTGTGTTATCACGGTCTTAGCTGCAGCCACCAGCCTTTCCTAATTCATTTACTGGAAGTTTCCTAACAGCTCTGCCTTCTGCTCTACCCTTAACTTTCTAAAATAGTCTATGTCCTATCACTGCCTACAACTTTCAATGCCTCCCCAGCTGCCTCCCCAGTGAGGTGCTCAGCGTGGCACCAAGTGATCTTCACAAGCTGACTAAACATTTCCACATGGGCTCCAGTGGTACACCTTAAGCCCTCGGATGCTTCAAGTGAACATTTCTTCACCTGTGGTCCCCTTGATTTGAAATACCCTTCCTGCATGCCTACTTCTGGCTAACTCCTACTTTCAGATTCAGTGTAAACATCACTTTTTTCCCCCTAGCAGTAATTTTTAATATATTTTTATTGGCACATTTTAGATATACAATACAGTTACATTCATCATTGGGATCTTGTAACTTTACATGATGCATCTTGGTTCTTATTTTTTCCCCATTCCCCTGCCCTCCCTTCATGCCCTCCATCCTTCCCTATTTACAAAGACTTTGTTTCTACTTTTTCCTTTCCTCTTATTTTTTCTCTTTCCTTTCTACCTTTCCCCCACCACCACATGCCCTATACCCCCAGACCCTCTCCTCTCATCACAAAAGATTAATTACACATTTTGACCCCCACTACACCTTCAGTTCACCACACCAGAGAGGCCACACGGTATCCACACGTGTGTCCCACCAATCTCACCCAAGAGTATGTCCTCAGTGTGCACCCTCCCAGCCATAAATGTCTCCAGTTTCTTGTCCTCAATAGCTGAGCAATACTCCATCTTATAAAACACACACACACACACACACACACACACACACACACACACACACACACACATACTTTCTTTATCCAGTCTCCAGGTGATGGGCAATTGGGCGGTTTCCAAGTTCTAGCTATCATAAATTGTGCCGCTATAAAAATGGTTGAGCATATATAGCTGTGGAATGATTCTTTTAATTCTTCCGGGAAGATACCCTAGTAGGGGAATAGCTGGGTCAAATGGGACCTCTAATCCTAGTTTAAACATCACTTTCTTAAGAAACCTTCCCCAGTTTTCCTGGCTCACGCTGGGCATTCCCACAGCCCCTGAGCTGCTATGAAAATCAGTCACCCATTTAGATTTAGATTTACCTGCTAACATGACCATCTCTTTTCTAAGCTATGAACACCTTGAGGGGAGGGACCATGTCTTTAACCTCAGCACTTAGCAGAATCCCTGGCTCAAGGGGATACTCTGTAAGGCTTGCTGACGAAAAACTATGATTTACAAAATTATTGAAGATTCAAAGACTGTCAGGGTTGGAAGGAAAATTAAAGTTCACTCAATAAAAAAACCTTAGTACCTGAACCCTATTCTTGCTAAGTTGTCAGTGAGCTCTTTTGTATTCTTCTTATGACAGGGAGCTCACTACTTTTCACAAGTAGTCCCTGTCTTTGGATAGATGAAGACTGATCACATATTCTTATTAAATGGGAGGGGAAGAAGCCCATGGGATAGAAAATAGGTTTTTTAAAAAAACTATATGAAGATTTGTTCTTTCTCTCTAAACTAGGCTACTTGGTAAAAAGCTCAGTGCTTCAGTGCTAGATGAGTTGTAAATGTCTTTGCTCTTAAAAACTGACAGTTTCTGTTTAAAGGTCTACTCACTTAGGGAATACTATAATGCCAGGAAAAAGTAAGGGTTATGTCAGCGGATGGTGGATTTACAGCACTGATATTGACAGAAGAAATTTTCACCAGGTGATTGCTCATAAGTTTCATAACACTTACCCATAACCCAGTCTACATAAATGAGCCTGGGTACTCCTGACCTCTCCCCTAGTTTGGTTATTCCTTTCATCCAGGGATGGCAAATAGTGGTAAGTGATCTATATTCTCCACGTCCGTGACCACAACAGATATCACTAATCAGTCGCAGAATCTCTCTTCTATTGAGTCTATAGCCTCAAGATCCTCCTCAACATAACTTTCTAGACAACAATGACCAATCAGTTAGATGGAGCTATGTAATTCTTTGAGCCTACAGTCACAGGGAGAAAAGAGACTGGACTTGTTAGGCAAGGCTTTTTGTAGCTTGAGACATAAGTTTTTCCCTATTTGCAGGACTGTCGCCTACCTGATTACTTGTTTTGATAAAATTCAAGAATCTTGAGATGAAAGTGAGAAATCCCCATCCATATTCAAAGCACTTGTTTACTTCCTGAACAAGAGATGGCCAGTGCTCTGTTAAACATGCCTAAAGGGAACACTTCCTCCCTCTCCAGACTAGTTCCCTCTTTCATCCACAATGACTGCTTTGTTGGCACAAAGGTTTATTTATTTTTTTTTCCACACTGCGCAGCACTTTGCTTTTCTCTGGCTTCTGTCAGTTAGATCTACTATTTATTGGGTTATACTTTTTTTTAAAAAAAAAAAATCCCATTTGCTTACAGGATTATCTCTGAATTCCTTAGCAGGGTTTCAAAGCCTTTACTGGCTGGCCCTACCTACCTTATGTCTTGGAATTACAGAACCTTAAGGTTGGGAAGGACACCAAGAGCTAAGCCAAGCTCCCTTCGGATACCTTTATAATCTAGCTGCATTTCCCAGAGGCTGCAGACTCTACACAGCGTGCATACATCTCTCCAGATTAATCACTCGCTTGGGAGAAGACCCAAGATGGAGGTCAGAACTAAGAAACCAGATTATGTGAAAAATACATCCAAAGAGTGCAGAAAGGGAGCCATCTGTTGGAGCAAGGCAGTGGGCCACAAGGAGGTTCTGATACCATGCATGTGCCTTAAGGTCAGGTAAGCTGTCTCTGGGATTCTTTCAGCAACTCTATTTGCTTATGGGGCCCCGCTGCTCCTCAGTCAGGATTCTCTGGTTTTCTGACCCTGGATTCAATTCCATATTGTGGCTTCTGCAGTACCCTTGGACTGACCCTCACCACTAGACATGCTTTCCTGGCAGTGCCCCTCCAACCTCAAGGCACTTCGCCTCCTTTTTTGCTTTTCACTGCAGCTAAATGTGGTGCCAGTAGGGGAGGCCTGCTTACTGTCCAGCCTCTCCAACTTGTCACTTCATCTGTAGTGGATTGCATCTGTGACACTCATGGCACAGATCCCCCCATATTAGTCTAACTCTACGCTTATGCCCCAATGCCAGGCATCCAGCATAACCACAGATTGTAGATTCCTTCTTGGGCTAAGTGCGGGGAGGGAGGAAGGAAGAAAGGCTCCAGAGAGCTGGCCCTGATTGGTCTGGGGTGTACAGCCATCTAACTCCCCGGCTCATGCAGCATACTGTGACTGCTGTGCTGGAGAGGAGTCCTCAGTGCCCATAGGTGTCTTGGTAGCTGCTCTCTGGACCAAAGGGAAGCCAACGGGAGTTGGGGTGAGGGTGAGGCTTACCCACAAAGTATGCCAGCAGGATGATAAGGGTGGCCGAGATGATGATGGCACTCAGGGCTGCGCATTTCCAGTTGCAGTACTTGGAGGGCTTCTTGAGGTTAAAGGTTGGCCGGGCGAAGGTGCTGCGGGGCAGGGGCCGGGGTGGAGGTGAATACACGGTGCTAGACGTCAGGGGGTACCCTGGGGATGTGGTGCAGAAGAGTGGGGAGGTGCCTCCGGGCTTGAAAAGGAAGTGCCTGTGGAAGGAGAGAGGCAGGAAGGGTCAGGACTGGCTGGCTGACCAGGCACCAGGACCAACCTGCAGGACAGAGGCAGCAGAAGAAGCATGCAGAGGAGCCTGGAGAGAGGAGAAAGAGTCACCGCAGAGAAGACAGTAGGGACGGCAAGAGGAGAGTCACAGACCAGACCACAAAATGGGGCACAAGGAGACGTATTTCCACAGAACACGAATGGGACAGCCTTTCCCACAGGAGAACCCACCCAAGCCAAGGCAGATGGTGTCTCCTACTTGACAGAGGCTTGTGGGTGTGTCTAAGGGAATAAACTACCTGTTCTTTGAAGTTACTACAGTGAGTTGGAAAGTGTCTAAAATCCACCTGTCCCTTGGAGACAACTGGGACCTAACATTTGACTTCTTTCTCCAATATCTGCATTACCAGTTTACCTTGGTTAAGGATTAGACTGTTTTTGCTATTATTATTTGTTTTTTGAGACAGGATCTCACTAAACATCTCAGGCTAGCCCTGAATTTGTAATCCTCCTGCCTTAGCCTCTCAAGTGCTGGGATTACAGGAATGTGCTACCATATCCAGTTAGAGTATTCTTTTTTTGAAAGGAGGTTTTGTTGGGATGGAAGTCAAGAGACCATCACAAGTTGAACCCAAGGCCAAGAGTTCTTTTGTGGCTGCTACAACTGCCTGCAAAGCACTCTTCTCAGAAACCAGGCTGCTTCTTTCCAAGAGCCAGGTGAGAGCTGGGTAGCAGGACAGCCAGGCAGCTGCATCCTACAGCCTAGCTGCAGACCTGAGGGCAGCAAGGATGGTCAAAGCACATGGTTGTGGCCAAATCAGGTGTCAAGAAGTCCTCCACACCTTGGCTTTAACCATGGCCATGTGAGGACCTGCACACAGTTTGGATATGAGGTGCATTGGCTGCACTGTATAACTCTGGAAGTCTTAAGGTAAACCCACCCCTGGTGGGTACAAGATGATTTAGGCCATAGAATACACATTCAGGGCCAGAATACATACAATGCAGACTGCTGCATAAAAATTGCTACATGAGATGGTTTTCAGAATGGTGAAGGCAGCCAATGGGATGCTGAGAGCTTGCATATTAACAAGACTGATGTTAATATGCTAGGGACAGGATATTCCTAGGACAAACTGTTGCAAGTTGGACATGGACTTGGGGATGGGCATGCAACATGGCATCACTTCCCCCAGGAGATCCCAGGAAAATGTCTCAGGGTCTGCATGCAAATGCAGGAGCCACGGGGACAGAACACACACAGAGGAGGAGCATGGGGATGTCACCTACCCGTCACTGTAAGCCCCATCATGGCGGGAGGCGCTGAGAATGTCCATCTCAATGAGGTTGTCCTGCAATGTCCCTAGGAATGGCTGCTTGCTTAGGTTTCTACACACACATGGAGACATGAATGAAGCAATGAGTCATGCATCGATGAAGGAGGGATATAGAGAAACAAAGTGGCTGTTTGGTGCAGCTGTGCATGAGACCAGCAGGACACAGGCTCCAGGCAATGGGTCAGTGGGCAAGCCACATGTGCAAGGGGTATGCTTGGCACACAGCATCCAGAGGGAGTATTCTCTATACAAACCCGAATGTCTGGCAGATGTGTGCATTAAATCACAGCTCTCATTGAGGACTGACATGTGTCCAGCATTGAATTAAGCAAATTACGTCCGTTCGCCCAAATCTTCCAAATAGGCTACACAAGGAAGGCAGTGTTATCCCTATTTCACAGATGATAAGACTGAAGTATGAGCAGTACCAGGATTTATCAAGGCCACCAGCAAGCAGGGCTCAAAGCAAGAGTCTGGGCTCAGGTTTGCCTGGATCCACATTCTGTGCTTTCTCCTCTACTTACTGCTTAAACTGTAGCCAGAGATGGCTATCTGGCTTGTCTAAAGAAACAAGAAAGCCAAGCATTTTTGGCCATCATCTTCTAAAGCAGTTGTTCTCAATTCCGTTGAGCGAGCAACAGAACTGTCTGGAGAGATCCAACACCAGTGGGTTGGGGATGGGCCTAAGAATCTGTTTTTTTCTCTGGCCTCCAGGGTGATGCTGAGTACGGTTGGAATCTCCTGTCCTTTAGCTGTGTGGGGATCTGGGTGAGAAATGATTAGCAAGGATGGCACCCCACCAAAGACACAGGGGATGCTCTTTGTCCCCTGAGATAGCATTTTGTGACTTCAACTAAATCTAACCCAGAATGAAGAAGCCACACTGGCCTGTTTTGTATTGAACCATGCCTGCAAAGCACTGTCATGTGCACTCAGGTGATCTGGCTCCTGTTTCCTGCTAATCTCAAGACTGCTGCCACTCCCTATGAGATCCTGCAGTGGATAATCTCTAACAAGCTATTGAGCATTGGCCTGCTGCACGCACCTGATTGCTAGCTTTGGTTCCCAGCATGCCAGGGACTTTTCTTCTGACTCTAACAGGTCTTGAGAACACGTATCCCAACTCACATCCTTTTTTGTCACCTTCTTGCTGTGAGACTTTGAGTAAAAAACTGAACCTCTTCTAATCTTACTTGCTTCTGGAAAATGGGGATTACAGTACTAAGCTCATCAGGTTACTGTGAGGATCAACTGGGACAATGATGGATGAATTTTTAAGAGTTACACAAATAAGACAGAAATGCTAATGTAAAACACAATAGCTCCCATCTACCCCATATCGGCCATGTATTATTTACTACTCTAGGAGTTCTGCAACTGTTTAGTTTGAAACTTATTCCTTAAACCACCCTACAATGTCAGTATGCCATTTCTACCTTGTAGGCTGGCAAAGCAAAGCCCTGAGGAACAACTTTTCTGAGGCTTTATTAGGCAGTAAAGACAGCAGAGCTGGCATGGGAACCTCAGCTTGTCGCCCTCTCTGCTTCAGAACCTCGTTTCATTCTGCACAGCCTGTGACTATCACTCACCGGCCAGCCTCAAAGACCAAACCCCATTTTATTAACATCTCTGGGGATGCTGAGAACAGAAGAGAGCAGCTTATGGCTGGGACCATTGCGTACTAAGTGGTGGCAGGACCTTCCCTTTGGATGGGTCCTGGACCATAGCCTAGGCAGGAGGTGGTGTTCAGGGCCCTGAGTCCCCCATAGCACTGGGAGGAGCTGCAGGGTATGGAGATCAGAGCGACTTCATTTCTATCTGCAGGCAGGTAGCCCTGCAGATGAGAGGCCAGGTGGCCCGATGGGAAGCATGCAAGCCCTGGGGTCAGATACATCTGGGTTCAGGTCCTGGATCCATCACCTGCCAGGGCAGGTGAGTCAATTACTCTGAGCATCCATAAAATGGGATAACTGGTCACCCTGAAGAACCTAAAGTGTGATTCGGATCATATCACTTCTTTGCTCTCAATCCTCCCTCATCCTTAACAGGGCCCACAAGATCTTGTAAGATCTGGCTCCCTACCGTGTCTCAAACCTCATTTGCTATGCTACACATACACCGGCCTCTTCGGTATTTAAAACAAAGTAAGCCTTTGCTTTCATCTGCCTGAATTGTCCTTCTGCAAATGTCTGCATGGATCATCTCCCCACCCTGACTAGAGGAGCTCTCACTCCACTCTTCCCATCACTTTCAGGCCTTTTGCATTGGTTTAGCTTTCACACACACACACACACACACACACACACACACACACACACACAGAGTCAAGTCATGTGGAGAAAAATAAGGCAGTGAGGCAGGTCAGCAAGTGATGATGGGGAAGCAATAAACACATATGTTTATCTGCTCACTGTGTCTCTTCCTAATGCAATTCAAGTTCTACCAGCTGGGAGTCTTATATACCTTGTTCACTGCTATGTGCTCAGAGTCTTGCAGTATGCCTGCTACATAGCAGTGGGAACTAAATGTGCACTGAATATTGCTGGATTCAGGATATACCAGGGAGCCCCACCTTGAACAGAGCAGGTACACGGTCAGTCCTTAACTGAAGATGGTAGAGGGTGGTGTTCACTATTATTTCCTACACTACCCTACATTTCAAGAGGGATGTGCAGTCTCTCTATAGCTTATAGGGCCCAGTAGTGAGCAGGCCTTGCCCATCCTTGCCTGCAGAGTCCAGGGAAGAGTTCATGCTGCTTCCCTCGGCCACCTGGGGGTTTGTTTTGCATCCCTAGGCTACCTCTGCTCCAGTGAAGTACATGTCTGTACTTCAATAAATAAATAAATTCAGAGGAAAAAAGGCACAAAGGATAAAGATCAACATGTTAACAGTGGGAAATCTTCAAGTACCTGGATTAAGTGATTTTTATTTTAACTTTCATAAATTAAAAAGAATCAGTTTTTTAAAAGGAAGCTGACAATTATTTCCTAAAAGTATAGATTTGCTAGGATAAGGGAAGGGGTAACACCCAGAATAAAGGATTTCCAAAGCAATAGGGAGGGGTTGGGGATTTAGTTCAGTAGCACCAAACCTGCCTCACAAGTGCAAGGTCCTGAGTTCAATCCCCAGTACTAAAAAAAGGAAACTAAAGCAATAGGGCACCAGTGAAAGAGGTTCTCCTCAGATGCTAATTGTTTAAGTCATAGGGAATTTGGGGGAGGTGAGCACACATGCTGAAAATGATGGATATTTAGAACATCTCTACTGCCTTGAAATGGCCTTATTCTGTACTTGTAAAGCTTAGTTTAGTTCTGGGTCAAATATTTTGCCTCATTTCATTGACAAAGAAATTGTGGCCCAGAGACAAAGAGAGAGCTTTGCCTTGCTCCCATACCCACAGTAAGTCAGTGGCAGAGCTAAACTAAACCCAGGCACTGTGATTCCAGCTCAAGACTCCACATTCTGAGAATCCAGTTTTCCTGACACAAGGAATTCTGTAAGGATTTCTCCCCAGGAACCTACAGCGGCTGAGGCCACCTTGGGTCATGGCCTTCTGTGGTCTCTACCTACTGCTCGGAGCTGAAGTATCTGATCCTCACAGCACTGGGTGTCATTACCTCATTTCACAGATATGAAAACTGAGGCCCATCTAGGCCAAACGATGGTCCAGGGTCATATGGCAAAGAAAAGTCATGGAGAGGACTTAAACCAGATCTCTCCGACCTCAAAGACCCAGCTGTATCTCAGGAAAGGGCTCACTGGGTTAAGAGATGAACTGCAGCCAAGCACTGCACTGATCTCTGTTTTCACAGAGAAGAGGGGACTAGACCCGAAGCTGCCTGAAGATGGGTCTTCCAGGCCCACCTGTGTGAACTTGGCAAGGGAGTCCCAGGAGCTGCAGGAGCAGTGGGTCTTTGGGACTGCCCTGCTAAACAGCACATCTAACAATAAGCCTGCTATGCTATGCTTCTGCCCACAGAGCCCAGGGACAGGCAGGACCACATCAGATTCTCCCAACCACTTAGTGGGGCAGGACAGGCAGAGGGCATGTGTATTTGCTAGCTGAGATCCCCAAAGTGTAGGGGTTAATGATCATGCAAAGAACACACAGGCATGGAGCTGGCAACTGAAGAAATGAAGAAACACATGAACCTAGATGTTCAGGCCACAGTGATCTCTCTAGAAGGCCAGTCCCTTAATGCCTCTCTCTAATTTAAAAGCTGTTGACAGCTACCCCCCACTGCCCTTGCATCCACAGGGACAAGTGCAGTCTTTTCATGTGACTCAAGACCCTGCGATGCCCAGGTCCTTTCCTCTACTGCTCACGAATCTATACCTGCTTCAACCCACTGTGTGCCATCTTTCTAAAATGCCATGTTCCCTCCTGGCTCTGTGCCTTTGCCCAACTGTCCTGCAGCTCAGAATTGTTTTTTCCTCTGAAAACGCCTACCAACAGATGTCCTGAGAAGCTACTTTAATAATCAGGAAGTTGGTATCAGACAGTGGATGGGTAAAATGGCTCCAGAGCCACCCAATCTGAGCATGCCAATCCTACCAACTGCTTAGCTGTGGGATCTTAACTTTCCTGTGGCATAGCTCCTCCATCTCTAAAATGGGGTGCTAAAAAGATTACCCACTTATGCAGAACAGAGTAAAGATGCAGCCCTGACTTCGATGAGCATCTGCTTACCAGGCCAGCTCTAGGCTGGCATCTCTGAGCTTGGGTTTCAGAAGAGTGACACCATGAACTGCCAAGAGTGGATGACTCAACGTGCTTCAATAACTGGGGAAATAGCATGGTTTCTGCTGAACACCTGCTTGTCTTCTGGGAGTCTGGAATGTGGGTATGTGCCAGGTAGAGAATGCCCATGTGATCATCCCCCAGTAAAAACCCTTGGCACTGAGCCTCTAATGAGCTTCCATGATTGGCAGAATTTCACATATTACTGCACCCAGTTGCTTGGGGAGTTAAATGTGCTTGTTCTGTGGGAATCCACTGAGTGAAGAATGCTGAAACCTTGGGCCTGGTTTAAAGTCCCAGCCTTCTCCCTGTGTACCACCTTTCTTTTGCTGATTTTGCATTGTGTCCTTTCTCTGAAATAGATCTGAGTCATTAGTATGATTATATGTAGGATCCCATGAGGTCAAGCAGGAAATAATCAAACCCGAGAGTGGTCTTGGGGAGCACTGTGAGGGTTAAAGCATAAAGTACTTAGAACAGCACCTAGCTGTTCCCAGTAAGGGCCTGAGTGTTTGCTGACTGCTACCCAATTCCCCCAAGTAGAGAGGACCACACTGCCTCCACTTAAGAGTGCTGGCTCCATCAGAGCACCATCTGCAGTGTCTGTGTTCATTTCCCCAGTCTGCCTCCCTCACAGTAAGACTGTGAGCTTCTTATGTGGCAGTGGGCTTTGTCTCATGCTTGTCTTTGACTGAATCACCAAATGACAAGGACCACTCTCCATCCCAGCTCTGCAATGCTCAGGGGTCAGTCTGGCCCACTAGAAGGGACTTCTGCCATTCTGAGAACCACACTAACCTTTGCCTAAAGAAATGTGGTAACCCCTGTCCCTGAAGGTAGACAAGTTGTTCCTCTAATTCAGTATGACCACAAAGTGGGTCCCGTGCTTCCAAACTAGGCCTTAGACCAGCTGGGCTAGAGCACAGGTCTGGCTGCCTTCTGCTCTGGCTTCCCTTTCCTCCAACAGAAGCCTTAATCAGATAGTCCCCATGAAATCAATTAAGTGTGTGATGCTGCAGAGTGGAAAAGCAGAGGATCAGGGTTTGGGGACCCTGAACGCATGGCTCCCAGAAGAACAGATCACAGATACACCTGCTGGGCTTCAAACTACTTAATCTATGGAGTTCAAATAGACCTCGGCTCCTCCCTGGGGGATGCAGTTAACCTTGGAGACTGCCAGAGAAACAGTGGATGCAGGGAACAGAGCAGGTCTACCAAAGCCCTCTCTCCCCTCCATCCTTCTGCCAGCCTTTCTTTTTCTGCCAGCATGAAATATAATCCCCTCTGGTCATTCTACAAGCTGTTATGGTATTTGCTTAGTTATTTACTTCAGACTCTAAACGTGGGCTGAGACTGATAATTAGGGAAGGGCCTGTGACTATTTCTCTGGCACCAAGAGGCTCCTCTTCTCATGCGTTTGGCTGAAGGTGTTGAACACAACTATCTCAGGGAGGACCTGTTCTCTTAGGCCTTTAGGCCTCTGCTCAGACTGTGCCTGTCTCAGGCCCTCTCAACTTCCCTTCTGGCACCTGAATGATTCCCGACTCCTCTTTAGCTCAGTCACTCCTGATTCTTCTTTAGCTCAGTCCCAGAATACCAGGGCCACTGGGAAACTGTTCCTTTTTCCCCATTCAACTCTCCAGTAAGTATATTTATTCATCCAATTTTTTGATTATTCATTCATTTTGCTTGTATATTAATATTAATCAAACACCCATCATGCTGTGGCAACATGTGGCACTGTATTGTGTGCTGGGGATCCCAAAGGAAGGAAAACACAGCACAGTCCCTGTGCTTACCTCTGGCATAACACTTATCCTACTGCAAGAGCCTATTCTCCTAAATGTCTTACCTGTTAGGCACATAGTTGGCATTCAGTGAATATTTATTAAATAACAAGTACTATATGATATGTAGTGGAGCCCTTAAACATTTTCAGATATTATCTTAATGTAATTGCTACAACAGCCTTATGATAGGGTGGTAGAATAAAAAGGTTGCTAAAAATCCTTTTTTATACTTCTCCCATTGACCAAGTGGGTCTAGTTCTATTGCCCTTGAAGATGGCTGGCCCATGCCTGCTTTGACCAGTGAAATATGGTGGAAGTGATGCTGTGCCCATTCCAGGATGAACCCTCAGGTGGATCAAAAGCATCTGTCTCAATGCCTTGAAACCCTGGGTCACTGAGAATGAAGTACTGTTCTGCTAGGAAGACCATCATGTAGACAGACCCTAAGTCTACAGGCGTCAGACATGTGAAAAAGGCCATCTGGTGTTCTTTGGACTATTTTAGCTACCAGCTGAAGACCATGGACTGAATCTGGCAGTACGCATGGAGCAGAAGAGGAGCCAGCTGAGCCCTTCCCGAACTCCTGGGTCACACTGTGAAGGCTAATTAGCTGGATGTCTTCTAGTTAGTTATGCCTTTCTCAGCTGCAGGACATCCTTGGGTGCAGAGAACTTTGGAATCACAGAATAAGGTTACCTCAAACATTTTATCTGGGGCTTCAAGAACAAGTAGGGCTTAGCTAGACCAAGAAGTAAGGAAGTCTTGCAGAGGAGTGCAATGGCATAGAGCCACAAAAGGCCTTGGGGATTGGAGGAAAGGCAGATAAATACCTCTTTATACATATACTGACTATTAAATATATGTAACTACACATCACTAATATATAGTTATATAACCACCAGATCAATGAGGCAAGAGAGATAAGCATGACCACCTTTGCATGGTGGTAGAGGTGTGGTGCATGGCAAACTATTAGGAAAATCTCCCTAGTCTTCTCTAACCCTAGAGAAACCGTGACTCAAAGGAGGAAGCTCTACTTGCTCCTAAGTGAGAAAAGTGAACATCAAAGCAGAGGGAGGGGCAGCTGTGGTTCATGAGGAGAATCAGAACCATTAGTTACTGGCTACTTTCAGCCACCTACCACTTAATAAGCACACTGGAAATAATGGAGAGCTGATTAGCTACCCTGGGCAGGATGCCAGACAATTACCCCACTCTGTAACTTTGTTCTGATGAGAACAAAGGAGGCACATAGGGAAAAGTTGCACATGAGTTTAAAGGATGTCCACAGAAACCATATTAATTGAGAGCCTGGGATAGGCATTAGTTGGTCCTCATCTCTGAGAAGCATGCTTTTGGAAAACATACAGAAGGATGTTGAATCTTCTCTCATTGGACTCTTCAAGCTCAGCGTCCAACATGTTCATTCACTTCCTCAAGTGTGATGTGATTTTTGTGCTCTTCACAGATAATGGAAGGAGTTGAGGAGAATAAAATGTAAGTTCACCACTACTTTAAGAAATAGGGCATAAGATGAAAAGTTTCCACTATGCTAGTCTGGGACACTTCACCCTCAATGTAAAGAACAGAGAGAGACAAGAACAGTAGGACTTAGGTATATCTAATCCTCTTTGTATCTTTCTGTATTTTTTTCTGAGTCGTACAGTGTTTGTAATCATAAAAAATTCCATTTTGGAACAAAAGAAGAGTAGCTAAATAGAAGGAAAGAAATGGCTGAAGCCCCTGAGCTGGGCTAGCATTCAGAGCATGGGTGGAAGAAGAGGGCTGTCTGAAGGTGGTGGCTGCGGTAGTAGGAAACAGCATTGAACAGAAAATTAGGCGACCTGGGTTCAGATCGAGCAGTTCATCACTACCCATGTGACTCTGAGCTAGTGCTGGACCCCCCCTGACTCCCATTTCCCAAAACTCCTGAAGAGGATCATCATAACAAGACCCATCTCACAAAGGTGTCACACATGCCTGCCCTAGCAACCAACACTGTCCAGTGTACCTTAGGGACTACAGGGGCTCTGGGTGTAAACGGGATGGTGGGTGGTTATGGTAGCATTTGCTGAGCACCTACCCCTGGCCAGGTAAGCCTGATGTGAGGCATAGCCGGACGAAATCATGAGGGTCCTAATCAAACCTGGACTGACAGCCTACTTGGCTGCACACCTGTGCGTGCTTTCTTTGCACACAGCAGCTCTCATCTACCTTTACCTTTAAGAGCTCTGCATTGTCACCATCATGAAGACAAGAGCAGTGAGGCACAGAGAGGTCATACCTTTAGTAAGCTGCAGGTTATCCCTGGACCTCAGGTCTGCTGGGTCCCATAGCCCATGCTCCTTCTGCCCCGTCCCACCATCCTTTTCTCAGGTGGTCAAAGAATTACATCCCAAGGCTGTGCACCTGACCCCACCTTCACCTTCACTGGCCAGGTAGGAGGCAGGAACACAGATATCCCAACAGGCCCCCTAAAGTCCTGGATCTCAGCTCGGTTCCCCCCGCCGCCCATGCCCAGCCGCCGGCCCCCTGCGTGCACCTGGTCTCCAGCGGGATGTTACTGTTGAGCAGCCAGTTGTCCTGGGCATGCGAGGGTTCCTGGGCGCTGCTGGCAGGGGGCTCTCCAGAGAGCGAGTGGTCTGTAGGGGCCGGGCTGGGGTTGCTCCGAGGAGTGAAGTTGCCTCGGTTCAGGGAGTTGATGGAGGCCGCGTGGTGCTGGTTGGGGGTGTGGGCGTGAGAGAGCGGGGGCGGCGGCGTCCGGAGCCGGGGGTGGTTCTGCAGGCCACCTGGGTGATCTAGGGCACAAACACGCGCAGTCAGTGGGGCAATACCCTGGGTCCTGGTCTGTGGCTGAGAGGAGGCTGCGGAGAGTCGAGCAAGACCACAGGGGAGGGAAGGAGATGTGCCTCAGACGCAGACAAAGTATACAAATCAACGCATTCAATCAATATTTAGTCATTCCCATAATTACTGAACGCCTACCATTGTAGCTGAATAGGAATAGGAGGGTGAACAAAATAAAAATTCCCTCCTCCACCCATTGAGCTTAATTTGAGTAGGGGACATAATCTACAAGATTTTTTTTTAAAAAACTAAACTGCCCGTGTTACCAATTTCATCCTCTTTCTATCATAATTTTAGGGCTTGGCTTTTACAGCGTGATCATAGACTGTGTTTTAGAAGAAAGTGCTGGGGTCCTGCCCCAGGTTTACTGAATCAAGAACACTGATGTGAGGCCAAGTAAGCTGATTTCACAAGGCCTCCAGGTGAAATCCACTGATGCATGCTACAGTGGGAGAACCACTGATCACATATAATGGTGCGTGCGTAGTAAAATGACACAAACAAGGTAAGTAAGAAAACACATGTAGACGAGATGCTGAGAAATCTAAGAACATAAACATCCAGGAAGGAGAGTGGCCTGTGTACATCAGGGAAGTGTGAAATTGTGGACTGAGTAACCTCAGGGAGAAGGTGACTTTGGAGTAACATGAGCCATGCTGGTACCTGGATGATTAAAACTCACCGCCAACATTTATTGAGCATGTAGTATTTATTCTGAGCCTTTGACTTGTAGTAATTCAACTAATCCTAGCAACTACCTACAGAGTAGGTACTGCTTTTCACATTTTACAGATGAGGAGATTGAGATAAATATTTACTCCTTCCAATCATCCAGAACAAGAGGTATTATTATCATCATCATCAATTTATAGATGAAAAATTGAAGACTTGGAGCAAATAAGTAGAGTCTCTTGGGTATGTGGCTAAGTAGATGTTATTTACAATGAAACAAAGCAAGTAAAATTTCTGGTGACACCATAAACATGGCAGGTCCTGGAGGTAAATAAATCTTTACCATACACCTAAGCCATGCTCACCTACATTATGGCAGTGAAGAGGTTAGGAAATCAGTCTAAATTTAGCCACATAACCATGGTCAAGTCTCTTAATCTCTTTAAGCCTCAGTTTTTCTCATCTATAAAATGGGGAAAAGAGTTTATTACAGGGAGAACAGAATTATAGTGAACTCAAATAGGGCAATCAATGGGAAAAAATACGAAATTCACAAAGTATCCTGATTCGTGTGTTCCTCATGAGAATCCTGTATTTTACAGAGGAGACCCAGAGTGAAGAACAGGATTCGCAGCTGCTGCACTGTCCCACAGGCTGTGCTCTCCCCTGGCTCTGGACACCATCAAGCACGTCCAGGTGTGAAACACTGGCAGTGTTATGCATACTTTTAGTGGGAGATGCATCGCTTTCTGCTTCTTAGATAACCCAGTCTTTAATGCCAAAGAATTATAAAGTGGGACACTCTTTAACACAGCTGCTGCCTTCAGCAGAAGCCCACACCGAGCCCACATCCTCTAGGAGTCCAGAGATCTGGGTCTAGGCCGTCTGGTACACAAGTGTCTTCCAGCCTCACTTCTCATCAGTTCCTTCCCTTTATCCTCCCTTCCAATCACACATTTTCCTCTCCAGAGGCCCAGAGATTGCTGAGGCAACTCAGTGGCTGATATCTCAGCTCTGGAGAGGGTCCCCAGGAAGGCCACACAATGTGCGTGACACCCCAGAAGATATGCAATATTGAAATCCTGAGCCAGGAGGGAGCTTGGAGGGAAGGTAGAGAACCTGGAAGCCCATACGACTATCCTGGCTGAGTGTCCACCCAGAGAGGAGACAGCTTTGCACAGGGAGAAGCGGAAAAGGGGCAGGGACATTTGCTTTGTCTGACTATCCTCAGGCAACATTTAATAGAAACACATAGAACCTGGGACAGAATCCAGAAAGAGAAGCAGCTTATTGGGCTGGCTGAGTACCACCACTTTCCCCTCACACACACCCTTGGCATCTCAGGCTACTGGCTGGAGACCAGGGCACCAGAGCAGTGACTGACCCACTATTGTCCAGTGGTCATTAGGATGCCAGCCAAGTAAGAGGGCCTAGGATTCCTGCCCTGCCCTGGGATTCCCCCTCATGGCATTTAATTGACATTAACAGTGGCTGTCATATATCGGAGTACCTACCACATATGTATTTAAATTCTTAGCTTTCCTGATGCTTCCAACAGCACTTGGGCTCCTAGAGGACAGTATTAGTGTTGTTCATGTTCTATAAATGAGAAAACTGAGACCTACAGAACTAGTGGTTCTTTAAATCCAAAATCTGAATTCTGTCTTCTAAACTGCATAAAACATAGACTGCCTTAGTCAATGGACAAAGACAGTGAAAATACCCTCAAGGAAGAGAGGAGTATCTGAAGTCCAGGCCAGGACAAGCTGGCCTACAAGCTTATAAGACTTCTGCTTTCTGACTAAGGTGGAACAGGGGCCTCTGCCTTGGTGACTGTTTAGAAGCCCTGTCAGGATTCCTGATTGCAAGTATAAAATCACTCATTGCAGACCTAAAAACAAACTTCTAAAAGGAAATTCTCCTATGTGGACTAAGAATGTTCTGGTCCAAACCCTCTGCGTTTTTTAAAGTTCAGCTTGCTCAGTTGCCATCCTGTCCAGAAAGCCTTCCTTAATGTACCTACCTCCAAGCTCTTTCTCTCAGATGCTGACAGCAGGCAGCCCACATCTCTCACCTCTGCCTGCCCCACCCCTGTCAGGTATACTTATGGCCCTGGCTTTCTCTTCAGTGGGATGAATGTCCCTGGAACCTCTGTGCTGGGTGATGAGAGGTCTTAGAATAGAGAAGATTCACCACTGTGTGAATGGCTTGTGTGAGTGGCCTGAGCTGTCAGTCTGGAGGGGGCACCGCCTGTGCAGTGCACTGTGGGTATGTGAAAAACAAGGGCAGACCACCCCGGGCCTCTGGCCCATCAGCCTATGAAGTCACCTACTTAGTTGTCTAGAGGTGGAATTGCAGACACTCCAGCTGGGCCCTTTCTTTTCCTTCCTTCCTGCCTTAAGAGAGGGATCTTGATGTGTCCCAGGTTTCCAAGGGAAAAGATCTGTATTTGAGAGCTCAGCAATGGAACTCTCACTCATAAACCTCAGAAAGAAACATGATTTTCCAAAGGAGCAAATTTATCCTCTAGTCTAAACAGACTCTTCACTCTGATCCTATGGCCAGGAGGGAAGATGGGGAAGAGGTATAGAGGGGGCTTCTTTTATCTTCCCCAATATGCTTTCCCTCTCTAGACGGAATCTCAGACCCAGTGCTTTCAGTATTTACTGAGTACCTGTTCATGCCAGGTCTTGTAAACTGAGTGCTGGGAATGAAATAGTGAACAGGATAGATATGGTTTAAAAGAGACCTCTCTTCAGGCTTCTATTTACTGGCTGGGTGACCACCAACAACTCCCTTCGCCTCTTTGGTTCTTGGCCAGTGCATCTATGGATGGGAAAGGAAAATACATTCCTACTATACCATTGCTATGGTTTGGATTTAAATAAAATGTCCCCAAGAGATTTACATGTTCAGAGGTAGGCCTTCTGGAAGGTGATTAGATCACAGTGATGCTAACCTCATCAATGGATTAATCCATTCAGTTCTTAGCTGAACGTGAGGTGGGCCCTGACTGGGGGAAGTAGGTCACTGGAGTCACAACCAGAAAGGGTACATTCTTGTCCTCAGCCCCATCCTCTGTCTTTGGCTCTTTCCCTCCTCCACAATTTCTGGCTGCCGTGAGATGAGCAGCTTTCCCCTGCCATGCCCTTCTACTGTGATGTTTCTGACCTGGAGCTAGACAACCATGGACCGAAACCTCTGAAATTGTGAGTCCAAATAAACTTTTGCCCCTTCCATCTGTGTTTGTTAGGTATTTTGCCACAGCAACACAACTCTTTTTGGAAATGAGGAACCATGGCCTTTGCTCAGTGCTAAGTATACAGTGTAATCCTACTGAGCCCTGAGTGAAAGACCCATGGTCCATTCATTTCCTTATCCCTAGTGGCAGCATAGAGCTAGACCTGTGTGCAGCAGACAGACTCTCAGTAAACATTACAGGGGAAATGTTGGGGAAAGAACAGCAAATCAGGTAGTTGTACTCCTTGTCTGCACAAGCCACCGCATCTCTCCTGCTCCTGGGAGTAGGCATTGGTACATTTGCAAAGCTCCGCTTACTGTAGTTCCAATTTACACCTTCTTCTCACAGATGCAGCTCCCACTGGTATCTCTCAATCAGTCCCAAATGTGAGTCATTTTACTGTTATTTGTGCATATCATCATCTGTAAAGGCCACTTGCTTATCTGAGTTTTGCAAGCCTGGTTTCTGGGAAGTGATTTTGCTTCCTCCAAGTTTTTGGATCTATAGTATTTGCTGTTGCTGGTGCCCTCTAACACTAAAAGGCATTTTCATTTTTGTATATGCATAAATCTGAACACAGAAGCCTTCAGTCGGTACTTCCCTGAACTGGAATCATAAGAAGGCTCCTTCAGAGCACTGGGCAGAGCATTAGATCACAGAAAGGGACTGAGATTTGGTGTTCAACTGCCCTGAGTTCTAGTTTTGGGTATGCCACTTATAGGCTGTGTGACCTTAGTCAAGTCACTTAACTTCTCTGGAGCTACAGGCTTATCTTATAGGGTTGCTATGAGAATTAAATGAAATAATGAATGTGAGGAACTCAGCACATTGCCAGAAGTATCCTAGAACATGGTAACTATTAATTCACAATTACAACAAAAGCATGTTGAATGAATCAATCATAGAGGACTATCACCATGGTGATAACTCTTCAGCATTTATAATAGAGGTCCCCAAGCAACATACTTTGAGAAAAAAAGAGCAGGAAAACAATCTAACAGAAGGTTGATACTCTTCTAAAAGTTCCTACCTGGACAA